AAGCTGAGGAAGATTTCTTGTTCTCTGCCATCCGCGAAGGCTCCTTGGAAGCTGCCCCTGCGTAGGTCTGAGATGGCGTCGGTGTCTGTCTCACAGTTGAAGTTTCATTGCGCCTGTTTGCCTTCTCGCTCGGTAGTTTGGCAATAAAGTCGGAAAAATCGTGTCGAAAAAGCTCTTTAAGGATGTTTGCGCCATTGGTTGGACCAGATCTTAGACAGCCCTCTTCCCACGTAAACTTGTGTCCCTTCACATACAGATGATCATGAACTAGCTGCATCTTCACCTTGTCGTCACCCACCACTCGTTGTATTTCAGCCCGCACTGATACAAGGTAAGACCGTTTGTCCCTAATCTCACGAGGAAAGTCCCTATGTATAATGTACCCAGTTCCACTCAGTCTCCTAGTCTGGCTAATGATGTATGTAATGTCGGAATCTTCAGGAATATGTGCTATGAGTGCCTTGCTATCTTTTCCCAGAGGGTGGGCCCTGTTGACCCACACCCTATCTATCCCCAAAACATCTTTACAAAAATCTCTGATTATCTCCCGAAAGTCCGGATTTTTGCCTCTCCACTGCAATCCCTTGAATATAAGGTTATTTCGCCTTGATCGTGCTTCAAGGTCTGTAAGCTTGTCATTTGCAATTTTTCCCTGGCGCTTTAGGTTAGCTACTTCTTCCCTCAAATTTTCATTTTCATAAACTAATTCCTGAACTTTATTGTTAATACCGGCAATGTCCTCTTTAGTTGCTAACCATTTAAGCTTCTCGTCCAACTTACATTCTAGAAGATTACTCATACCTTCCATAAGCTGTGTAAGGCTCATGTTTCCCACTTTTTCCTCGTCCATGGCTTGGTTACCTTCGTTTCCCGGGCTCTCTGGAGAGATGTGTAAACGATTCCGTTTACTACTCCTTGACTGCACCGGCGTGAAATAGTCTCCTATCCTTGTATTTGGCATCAAACAGCGATGACACAGTCACTTTAATTACACTGTTCTTCACAAACCACGGCACTAGTACGACGACTGGGACACATACACGTGTCTATACTCGACCGTACGGACCACGTTGAGCGGACGAGGTAACTCACGATACTGACGTAAACCGGTATGGTTACTGATAAAATGGAGTTAATATTTACCGTCCTTAAACTTAGTCCTGAGTCCTTATCACCACTAAGATAACCACCATTCGCTAGAAAACTCGCGAAATTTAATTAAATCTCGGAGCTGATGCAAACCCCTACTGTCTGCAACCGTACCAGTGGTGCCAACCATGATATTGAAACAATGTACATTTAAACAGTTCAGAAGCAAAATTGTCAATGTTCCAATATAAAAGTACCGGTACCGAGAACCAACGCCAAACTGTGGTTACGGACAATTGGGTAGCCTTGAGTACCGTTAGGAGTTGGGCCATAGGCCTATTGGTGGTACGGTCCAGCGATGGCAGCCCAAAAGCGGTGGTGATCTGAAACAAAAGTGACACAATGGAAAAGCGAGTTTGGCAGCATCCTTTGTTACGATTACAACAAAATCGCAAAGATCTTCCGAGATCGCAGCAACATCCGTGATAGCCCACTGTAGTAGTGATTTTTTACTTGACCCAACAGCCTTTGAAACGCTGTTAATGAGTGGAAACCTTGATTGTAGGCTATTAGCGATGATAAAAAAAGTAAGGTTTCCCACTCCTGTACAACACAGATTCCTAAGGTTTTCCAACCATATCGACAAAATTCTCCTGTTATCAAGGCAGACGCATCCTTCTGACATCTTATTACGGTCATGTTTACCCTTTTCTTACATATTGTGTGCCCGTTTGGGCTAACGACAAACTTCAAACTAAGAAAATATTCAAACTGCAAAAAAGAGCACTTAAAATATAGAGTCTTGTAGATCCATTTTTGTAGAAATTATATGCTGACCTTCCCAATTTTAATTTTTCATTTTCATTTTCATTTTCATTTCTGTATTCTTGTCCTTCATAAGCAGGAATTTAACAATGTTTCTTATCACGAGTCATCTCACCACAGCTTCAATCTTAGAAGGAACAACTAAGAAACCTACCTATTCCAATATCTCGTACCACTTTTCATAAAAAAACAGTCATTCTCTATGTGTATCCGTCTTTACAAAACTCTTACCAATGCAATCAAGGGCAAAATGATAAAAAAAAATTAAGCATGGTTTGAGGGAATATTTAGTTGATAAGGAATTTTCCAGTGTTTCTTCGTTTTTAAAATGTAAATAGTATGTACCTCTTGAAGTTTATATCTTTATTGTTATGGGTCTGATTTTATCTGTTTAGTTTTAGTGACTTTTGCCCTGTACAATTTTGTATTATTATGGCAATAAAAAATTCTGATTCTGATTATAGTAGAACCCCACTCAACCGAAATAAAGGGGGAATATCCGTTTCGGATAACTAATCTTTTGTTTAACCTGTCATATGGTAAAAATAGCCTATGTACGAGGGTCGTCTCAAAAGTAAGTTACACATTTGTTTTAAATCAAAGCGTCGAGCGCTAGAAAGCGGGGAGTCGCGGGGAATTTTCGTCTGGATGTAGTGGCAACACTGTAAACGTCGCGGCCGCCTACGGCACTCGCCCTTCCAGTTCCAGTATCGCTCCGGCCATCATGGAGACACCACTTGTTCCCACCGCCGATTGTGAAATCTGTGCAGTAATTAGATTTTTGACTGCAAAGAATAAAAATGCAAGTGAAATTCATCGAGAATTGTGCAGTGTTTATGGTGAAAATGTGATGTCTAGGCCAATGGTTTCACGCTGGCGTCAATCGTTTATTGATGGGCGAAATCGTTACACGATGAACAACGAAGTGGCCGCCCGTCCACTTCCCGCGCTTTGACTGTTGTTGAAGATGTCCGCAAGGTCATTGACACCGACCGGCGCTTGACATTGGATGAAATCATTACACAGCTTCCTCCAAATGTTTAAATTAGTCGTGCGTCGCTTCACAGAATCATTTCGGACGATCTCAGTTTGTCAAAAGTCTGTGCAAGATGGGTGCCACGCCTTCTTTCAGAAAGGCATAAGGAGCAGAGGGTTGATGCTGCTCTCCAGTTCCAAAAAATTTTTGATGATGAGGGAGATGGCCTATTCAACAGGATAGTAACCGGGGACGAGACTTGGGTGCACATTTGGACGCCCCAAAGCAAGCGGCAGAGCATGGTGTGGAAGGGAAAGGACGAGCCTACTCCAAAAAAGGCAAAAGTCGTCGAATCAGCTGGCAAGGTCATGGCAATGATCTTTTGGGACTCTAAGGGAGTATTGTTGATTGATTACCTGCCAAGGGGGGAAACAATTACAGCTGAACGTTATTGTGAAGTGCTACGTAAGCTGAGAAGGGCGATACAGAACAAAAGGAGGGGAAAGTTGACCAAAACAGTGGTTTTGTTTCACGACAATGCTCGCCCACACACCGCCCGTCAAACACAAGACCTTCTGGAATCCTTCCGATGGGATGTTTTCGGCCATCCACCTTACTCTCCTGACTTGGCGACGAGTGATTTTCATCTCTTCCCGGAGTTGAAGCGGCATTTAGGCGGGAAGCGCGCTTCGAAAACGAAGACGAACTGAAACGGGAGGTGGAACAATGGCTAACCAAAATGGCGGCATAGTGGTATGATGCTGGACCAAAAAAAGTGTTGCCACGTTATCAAAAATGCCTTGAAAAAGATGGCGACTATGTAGAAAAATAGTCTATGTATGTATCTTTTAAAATATACCCTTTTCAAATCAAATTTGTAACTTACTTTTGAGACGACCCTCGTATTACCACGGTGTGTAGGAAAAATGAATTTAAAACAATGTCTATATTAATACAGTATTTTATTTCAGCTACAGAAATGTTACACTGGGTTGTAAAATACTTTAAACTAAACAACTGAAGTTACTAAAGCATTTTACATTACGTATTACTTATATTTTAGCCCTGTATTATTTTATTGAACCGTTTCAGTTAACCTGGGTTTCGGTTAACCCAAATTCGTTTAACCGGGACTCAACTGTATAATCACTTGGGTGTTTGAAAAAACATTTTTGGTTGTTAGCATAATTAACTCTTTAGCAGCGGTTTGAAATTATCCAAGATGGCCACTAGCCTCCAAGGACTCTTAAGCCTTTTAAACTTATGTGTAGGCCTAATTTAAATTATGAACTCGGTTCTCTATAACCTACACTTTACCTTGCTAACCTAACCTAACCTAACTTCAAAACACATATTACAGCTAGGAATCCTCATAAAGCCCGATTTGCCTTCCACACATGCCTAGCTTAAATAAAATCTGATAGACTATTAAGTTTTTTCTGAAAATATTCATTGTGTTTTAGTTTTTAGTATTTTTGTAACCCAACTCATGTAGGCCTACTTTGAATGCATTTTCATTAACTTAGCCTATTTATTATATTCCTTCTCTTCTCCTCATCAGTTTACGTATTATCATTTCGGTTTTAGTTTGCCGTAATGGTGCAAGCACACCAGAATGTAAGCAAAAGAATTCGATAAATCAAAACTTCAACTATCGTGGTTCAGATAATATTCTTGCCCTTGGAAAAGTTTTGCACCGTTGTTTTCAGATAAATAGTGAGTCTGCTATTTACTTTAAATCACTTGTAATTAACATAAATTTGATCAATCTTAACAAATAGGCTACGATAGTAAATTTACAAAAGTAAATTAATCTTACACGGCTGTAGTTCCGTTAATATTCGTGAGCATGGAAAAATTGTTGCACCGCTATTTCCAGCTAGGCTAAATATTTAGTTGCTGATGATAAATTAATTTATAGGCCTATAGGTTTCCATGGTCACTTAATCACAATAAATACCGTTCATTAAGTCAGTATACTTAAATGTAATTTGGTAATCCTTGCTTTGTATTGTGGATTTCTAGATGTTAAACCAATATTATAGCAGGGTTTTCTTATTATTAGTAATACAACATTGTTTTAATAATATAGCCTAGGATTTCATTACAGGGAATTGGCGACCACGATAAATTCTTGTCTCGAATAACAAAAACTCTCTACTGTGGAAGAAAAAACCCATACCCTGATCATTTCAGTCTTCCAGTTACAGGTTTGTCTATCCTTAGGCCTAAATATTATTTTTATTTTCTCAAGTATGTCTACAGACTGACCACCTAATTCAATGCAAGCCTAATTCAAAACCATAGGGTCTAGGCATAACATTCTTCTTTTCTGTTTGGTCTGTTCTGGGCTGAAATAAACTAGCCTTACTGAATTTATACATAGGCCTTTGTGCAACAGTTTTGAGGTACAGCTGTCTTTTTCAGTAAGAGATCTTGACCTCGCAAATTATTAGGTACGGTAGCAGGGTTTTAGTCTAATATTATTTAGTATCCAAGTAAGTGGCATTAACACAAGCACTTTAAAGAAGCTGTCCAAACATTTTTGTTGATATATCAGGGTTTGAACCTGCTCCTATCTATAATCCAATATGCTATCCTCTGGGCTAGCAACATACATATTTTAGGTTTTATTACAGCCATTTGTTACACAAAAACCCTCTTGCAAAATCCATGAACGTTTAATAAATAGGTAATTATAAAAAATATGGGCTCTTTTTGCATTGAGTAACATCTTTTGTTTGGCTTCACCTCCAGTTGTTCCAAGCTTATTGTATTAGCAGTACACATTACCAAGCAAGAAAGCAGAGAATGTGCTAAGATAAGGTCAGTGTTGTGTTATAAAGCTATACAGTTATTTTAAGCACGGAATTATATAGCTGGCATAACTTAGTCAATTTGAATTTTATATGAATTTTGGGCAAATGTTCCATATACTTTCTACAGATTAAACATTTTACTTGTATGTTTTATTTTTTTCACACTGAATGCAAAAATACAATCAGTTTTTGTAGTAAAGACTCCTAAGTGTCTGTAAAACTAAATTTAAAATTACATATTCAACTCCATGCGCAATGGAATCGATTTATTCAGACTTAAAGAGTTCTTATTTAGGCATGTGGGGAAGAAAGGTTGAATTTATGCGGAAAACAGTCTGGAGGTAACATTGTAATAATCTATGCCTGCCTTCTTTCGTATGTTAAAACTACCTTCTTTGAACTAACATATGTTTTATTTTATTATTATGATTTTTGTAAACATTATCCAATTTAAATACACATCTTTTGTCAAGTCCTATTAATTTTTGTCTTGTCTGTCTTTAATATTTTTAACATTGGTGCCGAAACCCGACTTATAAATTATGTCAAGAAATATGTCAATCCGAAAGTCAGGGAGAGAGAAACACCCTCCAAATAGATATTTCCCAGAAAATGTAAATGACAAGAATGAGGAACCCATAGAAAGAGATGGTCAACCTCCAAAACCCCCTTCTAAGTCAAAAACCACATCTTCAACTTCCAGCAAGCGCCAGTTAGTTCAACTGCAACTAGAAGAAATAGAAGAAATGAACAAGCTTGAGAAAATACACGAAGAAAGGGAGTTGCAACGACTGAAAGAATTTGAAGAAAAGGAGATGGCGCAACAGAGACAAGAGATGGAGCGTCAAATGCAGGAACAACAGAGGCGAAGAGAGGAGAGGGAAATGGAACGACAACGTCAAGCTGAAGCAAGAGAACTAGAACGCCAGAAGCGTCTGCTGAGAGTAAGGACCGAACTTGAGTCTTCTTTGGTCTTGGGCAGTCGTCATTTGGAAGCTAATGAAGACCCTGACAAGGTAAGCTTCAATATTGCTACAGTTGAGGAGGACTCTAATGTCAAAGTCAAGAGGTGGCTGAATGAGGAACCATCAGTTCCTTTGACATCGTCAGCCATCGTGTCCACGGCTATTGATAAACTAGCAGACTCCTTTTCAAAAGCTATAAATTCATCCAACCCCAACCAACCTGTCTCATGCCGACAGCGTCTTCCATCCTTCAGCGGGAAACCAGACGAATGGCCCATGTTCTATTCCTGTTACAATAAGACTAAACACCTTTTTAATGACGATGAAAACCTTGACAGAATAAGAAATTGTCTGGAGGGAGATGCCTTTAAAATGGTAAAACCTCTATTTATATCAGGTAAAAATTTGAGTACAGTAATGAAAACTTTACAAATGCGTTTTGGACGTCCAGAGTTTATAGTTGAGTCAATGTTGAAGAAGGCGCGCATGCTCCAACCAGTCAAGGAGGATGACGCTGTCAGCCTTATTGAGTTTTCAACAACTCTTTTAAACCTGACCTCTACCGCAGAGTCGTTGGATTTGGAAATGTACTTAATAAATCCTCTCTTGCTGAATGAACTTTTAAGTAAGCTCCCCTATACTCTGAAGTACAGGTGGGCTGAACATGTAAATAGCATGCATTTGGAAAAACCTATTGACCTGAAAGTATTCTGTAACTGGCTTGAAAATCAGTGTTCCATTATGAGTATTTATTTTCGTCCACCTGAGGAGACAGCGCGGAAGAGAAGTGACCCTAAACCAGTTTTGACTAATTCACCCAATGAAAACGTTTGCATGTTTTGCTCGGAGAGTCATGAAACCGATAAATGTAAGCTTTTCAGAAAAGCAGAAGTCGCGCAGCGGTGGAAGATGATAATTGAGAAAGAACTGTGTTTCTTTTGCTTCCGTCGTCACCACATCAAATTTTGCAATTTAAAGAAACCTTGTGGAATCAATGGGTGCAAACTATCCCACCATCGCCTTCTGCATACTGGCAGTGCCACTAAAAATGCCCAAGAGATCAGCTGGGACAGAGTACAGAACACTTTCAGCCAGGAAGGTAAATCAAAAGAAGAAATTATAAGCAATCACTCGGTAAATAACCATGTTTTACTAAGAGTATGTCCAGTTACATTGTATGGTCCAAGCTGTCAGATCGACACATATGCACTTTTAGATGACGGTTCAACCATATCTCTACTAGATTCAACTACAGCCGATAAATTAGGCATCAGTGGTAGCATTGAACCCCTTACCACTTGTTGGTCAAATGCAACTAAAAATTTTGACCCAACGTCCAGACGAGTTGAACTTAAAATAAAAGGGCTCTACGAAGACGAAGTTTTCACATTGACTAATGTAAGAACTCAATTTCCCCTAGATTAACCCCAACAGTCGGATCGATTCAGTAAAGCTTCGTGAGACATGGTCTCATTTAAATTCAATTGACCAACCTCTACCAACATCTCATGCCAAACCTACCATCTTGATTGGTCAAGATAATTGCAACCTAATATTGACAAGGAAAGTTGTGGAAGGGCCTCCTAACTCGCCAGTTTTACCCTGGAGTTACTTAGGCTGGTCGTTGCATGGAAAATGTTCAGAATACAGTGGTGGACGTATCAATGACAACTTTGCTCTGACATGTTTTAAATATGATAAATTGTACAAAACAGCAAAGGAATCATTTGAGATTGACAAATACGGTGCAGAAAACATCTCACAAGAAGAAAGGACTCGAAACAAAGATATGAAAATCAAAACAGCACATTTAGACAGGGATCCAATAAAAGAAAAAGCGTTAGAGAAGGAATGCCAACCCTTGGAGGCTAAGGATATGGTTCAAGACTCTGAGAAACATTCTGATATTCTCACCAGTGTCCAGACAGTACGAGTGGTTGGAGAGCATACGGAAGAGCCTGATAAAGAAAATGAGATAGGTCTGGTTGACAATGAGCCGATAGAAAATTCAAAAATACTTGAAGTCTTGAAGGAAGCCATGCTGGAATCTAGTGTCAAAATCAAGAACAAGATCTTTGCGATAACTGACAAAAGGAAGAAAGTGAAAACAAAAGAAAAACAAATTAAAGCCAAACCTCTATGGAATGTGAAGAAAACGGAGAACGACTCAGAGTTGATAATTTGTAACGGATGTGACATACAGTTTGACAATAACCCATTCTACAGACACAAGAAGAAATATGTGTACTGGAAAGAACACAAGAATAACAATGACAAGCAAACAAACAAGTGTGCTCAGTGTGGCTGTGTGTTCCCATGCCTGATGGCCTTGTTTGAACACAACTGTTGTTGCTTAGAGGAACCTGCAATGCCACAATTGTGTCTTGAGAAGCCGGTGGCGGAGCCGCTAGGAGACTTAAAAGGAGACTTAGATCACCTGTGGAAATCTCCAGAGACGAGACTGTGAGGAGAATTAACGATGGCAAGCAAACAAACAAGTGTGCTCAGTGTGTTTGCGTGTTCCCATGCCTGATGTCCTTTGTTTAAACACAACTGTAGTTGCTTAGAGGAACCTGCAATGCCACAATTGTGTCTTGAGAAGCTGGTGGCGGAGCCGCTAGGAGACAGCGTGAAGGACATACCCAAATTGTCACCTGTGGAAATCTCCAGAGACGAGACTGTGAGGAGAATTAACGATGGCAAGCAAACAAACAAGTGTGCTCAGTGTGTTTGCGTGTTCCCATGCCTGATGGCCTTGTTTAAACACAACTGTAGTTGCTTAGAGGAACCTGCAATGCCACAATTGTGTCTTGAGAAGCTGGTGGCGGAGCCGCTAGGAGACAGAGTGAAGGACATACCCAACTTGTCACCTGTGGAAATCTCCAGAGACGAGACTGTGAGGAGAATTAACGATGGCAAGCAAACAAACAAGTGTGCTCAGTGTGTTTGCGTGTTCCCATGCCTGATGTCCTTTGTTTAAACACAACTGTAGTTGCTTAGAGGAACCTGCAATGCCACAATTGTGTCTTGAGAAGCTGGTGGCGGAGCCGCTAGGAGACAGCGTGAAGGACATACCCAAATTGTCACCTGTGGAAATCTCCAGAGACGAGACTGTGAGGAGAATTAACGATGGCAAGCAAACAAACAAGTGTGCTCAGTGTGTTTGCGTGTTCCCATGCCTGATGGCCTTGTTTAAACACAACCGTAGTTGCTTAGAGGAACCTGCAATGCCACAATTGTGTCTTGAGAAGCTGGTGGCGGAGCCGCTAGGAGACAGCGTGAAGGACATACCCAACTTGTGACCTGTGGAAATCTCCAGAGACGAGACTGTGAGGAGAATTAACGATGGCAAGCAAACAAACAAGTGTGCTCAGTGTGTTTTCGTGTTCCCATGCCTGATGTCCTTTGTTTAAACACAACTGTAGTAGCGCAGAGGAACCTACGACGCCACCATGGTGTCTTGAAGAGCCGATGGCGGAGGTGCTAGGAGACAGCGTGGAGGACATACCCATCTTGTCACCTGTGGAAATCTCCAGAGACGACACTGTGAGAAGAATGTCACAAGTGGACGGTTCAATTAACCTGGTCAGTGACGAGAGCTTTGACATCTCACAGTACCACAACAAGTCCAGCAGTGATAACCAGAGGAATAAGAAGTATTCTGAAATATTCAAAGAAATCAAACAACAAAGAAGTAAACGTATGCTCAAAGTGAAAATCACTAAAGAACTGGTGAGTGCCAAAGTTAGCCTTCGCAAGCCTCGGCTAAAAATTACTATTGCTCCAAAGAAAAAACTAATGAAAAGGAAAAAGAAACTAATTTTCGAATGGTTAGTTCTTGGGGGGGAGAGAATGTAATAATCTATGCCTGCCTTCTTTCTTATGTTAAAACCTTCTTTGAACTAACATATGTTTTATTTTATTATTATGATTTTTGTAAACATTATCCAATTTAAATATACATCTTTTGTCAAGTCCGATTAATTTTTGTCTTGTCTGTCTTTAATATTTTTAACAAACATCAATTTATAAGTCGTTTCATTATAACCTAAATTTGAACTTCAAAGGACTTAAGTAATACAGTCATGAATCCACAGAAAGTCTGATCTTTTTTCCACACATGTCTTTTCTGACATCAAACAGGATTTTGAAATGTTCCAGAAGTTTGGTGTGGTTAAGTTTGGTTGGAATAGTTTCACTTTATACTTATTCTTTTTAACTATATATGCTTTATTTGTAAATCAGTACTAGGAAAGTTTTGTTTACATCTCGTCATCTTGCAGTTGTGTGCGATTCTCATAGAACACCAACAGCTGTTTCCACTCCACAAACCTTCCTCCCCTTTCAAGTGTTAGTCGCCACTTTAACTAGGCCCATACCACCATCCGAATTACTCAATGAAACCATAATTTGTTTTGTGATATTTAACTTTACGGTCACATAGGAATCTTTCCGACAAAAACTGATTGCATTTTTGGATTTAGCATGCAAAAAGCTCTAAGTAGACATAATCTAAACAACAAATTTAATCTGTAGAAGTATACAGAACATTTACCGAATTTAGAAAAAAAAAATTTTTTGAGGCCTACAAAGTGCAAGTTATTATGATGGTAATTTTAACACTATGTTGTTTACTTATTTTGAGAAGTCATAGGAATACAGATAAAAACACATAAACTCATAGCCCATTTTGAGTTTTTCTAGCCTAGTGTAGTTCTTCTAAAAGTCTATGAATTTTCCTATTATTATTATTATTGCGTTTGCCAGAGCTGACAGCTGAGCTATTCTCGGAAGTGAAGCACGGCTGTTCTCTTGACCGTCTGCATGTAGACCAAGCCACAGAGATTTCCCGCAACACTTGCGCCTCCCCTGCATCTCTTGTATTAGCATTACTTTACCTCGAGCGACTCAAGACTTGCAACTCTGAATATATTGAAAAAGTGCCCCCCTCTGAACTCTTCCTGGTCTCAATGGTGAGTTTATGTTTCCTTTTAAAACGAAGATTTGGTATATTGAGATTAGTTGTATATACTTTAAAACATAAAAAAAACATTAGAACATAGGCTAATTAAAAAAATTCTGGAACAAATAATATGTATTAACAAGAATATGGAATCTAGAGAATGAACTAGAGAATGTCAGCTGATACAGTAAGCACCCTCTTAACATGTTCGCTGCGGCCCACCAAATGGCAGGCGTAGCCCTGGTGCGGTGCAGCGTCGAGAGATGACATAGTTTGCTGAACACTTACAGATAGCAGCACTGTCTGGAACCAGCCTGTCCCATTGTATTGCCAATAGGAGGGAGAAAAAAGTGGACGAGTTGATTTCCAAGCTTGCCAGAAGGGGATTTCACGGGGAAATTTACTACCAACCTACACCATAATAAAGCACCTATTCTTAACTAAGGCCCCTTTTATTCACCCCGCCGCGGGCGACCGCTGCACCAATGTGTCACCTGCGATCGACCGCTGTCACGTGGATAGTGTAACAGTACTGCCAACCCAACCAACCAGTGCTGCCGAATAACTAGACCACGAGTAGTAAGTGACACTGGTGACTTGGGTTGGCAGCAATGCTAGAGCGACGGCGGGCTCCTGCGTTGAATAAACGATCCCATATAACACAATGCATATACGAACCGCTACCCGCCGGCGGTTTCTAAGTGCAAGCGGGTGAATTTACAAACCGCCGCGATACCCGCAACTTCTGAGACCGCTCCTATTTCAATAAAAGCACCCATTTACGGCAATGCATTTATAAAACCGCAGCGGGCGCCCGCTGGTGGGCAACCGCGGTGAATAAAAGGGGCCTAAACTCAGACAAAAAAATACCCATTCTTCCTGGTGTCTCCTGTGAAGGAATTGAGACATAGGAATTGGCTAACTCAGGAACTTGCTAACTCGGTCGTGTGTCGGAACTGGCCAACTCTGGAACTGGCTAACCGTCTAAGTCAGGAATTGGCTAACTCCGGAACCCGCTAACTCGATTTTGTCTCGCGGCGGAATTCGCTAACTCTGGAAGTCGCTAACCCGGCTGCGCCCACTGCACGGAGCGTTGCCAACCTTGTATGACGAAATAATCGTACACTGCCGTATTTCAAAATGTCAGTGTCAATGAAGATACAGTAAATGTTATTGTTATTTGTTATCAATTCTACTTTTAACAGATAACTAGCCCAAAGTAATTAAAAAACAATAAAGAAAATCAACAAAAAGTGATTTTTTAAATTTAACATTACAATGGCCAATTAAATGTTTATGATTTCGATCTTAAATATAGATGCCATCAATATAAAAGAAAATAATAGAATATGAAAAATATTAAAAATTCAGTTAATAGGTACTAAATAATTAAACCTCTACGAAATTAAGCTAAAATACACGCAAGTTCTCAAACACGGAAAGCAAATTTAATCGTAATGTGGTAATAAACCAAAACTATTAATTAATATAGTCATCAACCATCGTAACTTTCATAACTAATTCATAGATTTAAAATTAAATGTTCGTCGTTGAATCGTCCAACGTGTACAAATATGACATAGACCAAGTTCATATCAATTTATAGAATAGCTGTAGAGGCCTAAATCTATTCCTAATATTTTAAACCAAAGCATTGTACGCCTGCTAGTAAATAGTTGCCTAATTCTAAAATGTTTTGAATTTTTTAGTAATAATGTTGCATGTTTTAAAACAGTTTTTAGATTGTACACCTAAGCATCACTAGTAAATAATAGAAGATATAATATTCATATACTAAAACGTGACAGGCTTATTTTAATTCACGATTCTTAATCAACGACTTGACGGATTTTCCTGAATTGAGTGTTGGATTTTCTTTATATTGCTTTCACAATCGAAATAAACTATACCAAGCCATTGCTCAATTCCCCGTTCCCCGGTACTGAGCTACTCAATAGACAATAGCTTTGTTTTTGGATAAGATCAAGTAATTTTAGCTATGGCCACCATTCATAAAAATGATAACAAACAAGAACGACTGGGTCCATTTAGAACCATAAAAACTCCAGACTTTTAAAAAGTAGGCCTACTGAAAGACGTAAAATTAATATTAATTAAACAAAATTAAGAGGATGACCCGAGTTCTAACTAATAGCCTACGATTTCAGAAATTTACAAGTTGTATTTATGCATAGACAAATTTGTAATGTAATCCATGAATACATCAGGCCTACCACTTTATAATGTATTGATCAATATTTATTAAAATTCAATAGCTCTATTTTTGAAAAAAAACATTACCACTCCATTGTATTTCTGTAATAACGTTTAACGTGTAAATTTTATCATGATTTATGATTCAAGGTTACAAGCCCAGTATATAAAATACGAACTTAATAATTTTATTTGCAGAAGTTCACATAATGGTATTTATTTGAATAAAAGAAACAAATGGCGGGCTACGAAAATAGCTATTTCATTACATGTAAAAGATCCAAATTAAATGTACAATATTATCTTTTTGCATCCCATGCAACTATTTAAGTAAGAAACCCCCTTATATTAAAAGTACATTTTTCATCCTTATGGATCAGCTGAAGTCAGTTTTATTGTTAGATCTGTCCGGTGCACTGTCTTTAGAGGTCGTGTTTTGTTTACAATTGTTTATTGTTTCAGTCATTTAAAACCTCGTTTAACCAAATAAAACGTTCTAATCACAACTAATAACACGTCCCCTAGTTATATAACCAAACAGTAAAGAACAAATCATAAAGTTAACTATAAAATAATAGAAACACAATTTCGTCAACACTAGTGATCGGTGTGACCGGACATGAACTAGACACGAACAACGAGCCTCAAAGCATGCTCAAAGTTAAAATGAGATGTAAAGTTTACTTGTGTTGGTTAGTCTATGGTAAGACTATAATGCATTTTCTACCCTAATAATCATAAGAATCATATTAAACATACTTCTGAATATATATTTATTTTATCGACTACGTCGCTCTTAATCCTAATTATTCGTAGGATTCGACATTATGGTACTGATATAGGTACTACACTTTCGGCAACACTGGCTAAAAATCTTCGTGCTTGGCTCCCTTTTTTTTTTTTTTTTTATAGAGGTTGGCGGCCTCTTTTAACCTTGCATTTGCCCGTCCACATAGACTACAGATCTGTGCGTGGAACGTATCCAGCAAAGCAAGGGGTGAGCCGGTACAGTACAAAGGTGAACTGTACTGATAAAAGTTAGTGGCAGTGACCAGGATCCGAACCCACGACACTACTGCCTTGGGCCCGAAGTCCGAGACGCTACCGACTGAGCCACCGACTCACCAAATGTCATTGGACGGCCCGCAAGGCTTCTGATTGGGAGTTAGCGAGTTCCGCCGAGGGACCGAGTTAGCGACTTCCGTACGAGGACGGAATTCGCTAACCCGGCTTTAGATCGGGTTAGCGGGTTCCGGAGTTAGCCAATTCCGAAACCGAACAAGTTAGTGAGTTCCTCTCATCGACCAAATTTGAAGATAGGGCGTTTAACATGGGGTTAGCGAGTCCAGAGTCCAAGCTATGACAATGCTCTGAAAAGATAAATCTATCTATATCTATAAAAGAGGAACTATGTATGTATGTGTGTGTGTGTGTGTATATACGTTATGGACTCTGAAACTGCTTGACAGATTGTAATGAAACTTTCAGGCATTATTTAACATCTTTCAAGGATGGTTCGAGTGAAGTTTGGTGCAGATCCGTCAAAAGGGCTCTGCCCCAGAGGGTTTTAAGTGGGCCAATGTCAGACTTTTTGATCTACAATGTTTACAAATAAAATATAATTTAAAAGCAGATGTTTACTTTCACCAACTGTTTTGTGGTATTTACTCAGGGGAGGTATAGAAGAGGCTACGATGACAGCTGTGGACTTCTTATTAGCTGAAGGAACGCCATTACCGTAACAATACGGTCAGTGGCCATCGGCCTCGTTGGTCTAGTGGTCAGCGTGCTGGGCTGATATGCTGAAGGTCCCGGGTTCGAATCCCGCTGGTAGCACTAACTTTTTGTCCAAGATTTTTTCATTATCAGCAAGTTTGGTTGGTTTGGTTCGGTTATGACAGTTTAATTTTATTATAAGTTATAAGTCATTATAAAATTTTAATTTAGCAATTTCTAGTTTTATTTAATAAACAGAATTATTTTTTCATTACTAAACATTTTTTAGCCTACTGTATATTATTTCATTATCAGCAAGTTTGGTTAGTTCGGTTAGGTTATGATAGTTTAATTTTATATTTAAAAAATTATAAAATTGAATTTGAGGCATTTATAATTTTATTTTATGAACAGAACTATTTTTGCGATTAGTATTAGTAAACCTTCATTGCCAAAGTGCTCTCTACTACAGCGCTGTTCATGGAGGAATTTTGAACTAATGCCTCATTTGTACCTCCCCTAAGTCAGACCCCTGTTTTGTAGGTTTGAATAATCACAACATTCTGTATTAATTGAAATAGTGCCACAGTGTTTCTACAGAGTACAGCACAGGAAACTATTTTACTTTTGAATAAGTCCAATTGTATTAAACCCCAATCGCAGCACACCTGTGCACTCAACAACGTTTAAAATCTCCAATGTTAAATATTAAAAACATAAAAACCTTTCTCAAAGTAGGCCTATTATAAACAATAAAAGGGATGACAATGTCTTAATATTTTTATCTTTCGTTCTATACCCACACAATATAACATAAATTATTAAGTGAATAATAATCGTGCGTGCTATCTCGGATATTCAAATGCCTCTCAATTTTTAATTAATCCACCACATTACTGTCATTAAAAGAAGGAACTCCAATAAAACTAATGCGAAACTTAAATCCACCGAAGCAGTGCGACGTTACCAGACTAACGATTAAAAAAATGACGTCAAAATTGATTGAAGCAAAAATTATCATTGGTAGGTTTAAGGGAGAAATAGTCTTAATCCCAAGAATACTGATGATATCATCCGAAT